GTTAGTTATTGGAGAGGGTGGGTTTCCCCATGCACTGAGACCTGTATTGGTCCATTGTGCTTCCCTCTATGATTTCTACCAGTCTCTATATCCTACCGGTACTGGTGCTTACCATCAGTCCCGCCCAGCCAGCGAGACCGGCTCTACTAGCTGAGAGGTATCTATAATGCTTCCCCCATCTACCAGAGGTATTAGAGACTGCTGTTGGGCGGGAAACGTCCGTTAATTTGGCTCAGTGACCTCCTTTGGAGATATGAGGTTCTTTTACGTGCTGTAAAGCTACGACATGGGACCCACGGCTTAAAGTCTCTCCCGGAGGAGGGAATTTTTCCGCCCTTAAAAATTCGATGACCTCCGCCGGGTGCTTGAACCCGCGTACTACGAGTCATGAGGTGGGAACATTACCTCTAGACTACGGAGGCCGCTAGCTCCGTAAGTAAGTAAGGTTAAAGATGTAATATATTTAGTTTGGCTAATAGTGCTTCAGCTTGACTTTCTGTTTACAGGCACAGATACAGAAGATGACACCAGAAGAATTTATGAATCAGAAGAGCCAGATACTAGATGGAGTTGATTTGAGTCGTAAAGGTTGCATTGATGATCCTATTAAAGGTTTAGTACAATTTATCAATGAAGAAAGTGATTTTGTTACCACAAGTTCGTGTTCAGGAAGAGTTGTTCTGTTCTGTGAGGTATACATTCTTACTACTCATTACTAATGTAATAAAAATTTAATGGCAGATTAGATGAGGTTAATTTAATTAAATTTGTTTTAGCTTTTGTTCGTTTGGTCCGAAATGAAATGCAATTCTGTGACAAGGTTGGTGATATGTGGCATCATGTGGATGTCTGCTTGAGAGGTTATGTACACATGATCTTATTATAAAGTTATTTTTGTACATCCTTAATACACACATATAGGCTTACACTGTATGTATTGTTTACTTGATCCCACAACTTAGAATGAAGCTATTGAACAGACTGGTGAATGTGTAACACTATGATTTTGTATTTGAGTGACTGATGATACACATTGAAGCTGGATTGCTGCTTGTATCTCTTGGGTCTTTTGCTCAGTTCTTTTTTTCTTTTTGAGGGGGGAAGTGAATTTCATATCCTTCCTGGTGAATGATGAAATAATACTGTACCTTGAAATAAGCTGTAACACCTTTCTTTTCAACATATACTCAGAATTCATTATCATCTTCGCATGTGGTTTTACATAAGCTCCTGCAGTTGATACTGTTTTGTTAAATAATTATAAATAAGTAATAAATAAATTGTCAAGATCAGGTACTCATACAAAAATGGTAATGGACCTTCAAATTCCATTCCACAAAAATTTCTTGACTAACTACCAAGCACTGTTAGCTTCTCAAGGACTTGCTCCATGGAGTTACTTAATACTGAAGAAGACTTACCTAGATGATGGGTGTTAGCTTGGTCAGTACTGGCAGCCTGTGGACTGTGCAGTTAAAGTGTAAATTCTTAACGGAGGCTTTGAGATTTTCCTCTGCACTATGTTCTGAACATCACAACCCTCCCTCCCCTTCCTGCACCCAGTCTCCAATCTAAATTCTTTCCACGCAGTGAAAGGGGACAGAGCATTTGCTGATCAGTCTCCTCCAATTCTCAGATTAACAGTCTGTACCTTGTGGTACAATAGTAAAAGGCAAGATTACATTTATGAAGGTAAATACTTGTCTGGAAAGCCAGGATAGCTCAGGCAGCCTAGCAACAGGCTACTGGCTGGATGGCCAGAGTTGAATTCCCAGTAGGGACAAGAGATTTTTCTTTATTTCACAGAGTTCAGACCAGCTCTGGGGCCCACCTATTCTTTGGGTTTTCGCCCCAGGGTAAAGCAGCCAGTGCATGAATCTAACCACTCACCTGCATATAGTGCCAAGATCAAGAATGGTGCAGCTATACCTCTACTTCCCCATACATCTTCATTGCATGGTGCTTATTTAATTAAGCACAGAGCAACTTTATCCTTATATATTTGTTTGGTGTACAGCTATGTTAGAAAGTATAGAAATCTAGGAACTGCATGTATGCTGTAATGGAGTGCGAGAGCTTCTGTGGTCATTTTCATCTAAATTTGCTGCTACTTCACATCTGTTGAATATAAGCCTCTAACAGGGGAAGGGTTAAGAAAGTTGCAAAGCAAAACCACTGTACACATAATGTAGGTCATATTATGGACTAAATATCTCCTCAATACAAGTTGAATATAATGTGTTGTTCCAGTAACTTGCATGGTCTGGAAACTCTTTTCCAGGATGTGACAAATGGAAATCATAAGAAGGGCTGCAAATGGTTATTTACCAGTCATGAAAATATCAAGGATGATGATTTATGGAACAGTATAGATCCAAAGGAAGGAAATAATATTCTTAAGTATGAACCACTTATTCTCCATGTACAGTGTAGTACACTGGAAAGTGCGAAGTTAATGGTAAGTGTGTGTGAGATTCAAAATCCTTGTTGGTACTTATGTAGAGGACATTAAATTAAGTAGTGAAGTGAAAGACCTTGCAGAAAATAGGAGTTTGTGATTTTACATTCAGAGTTTGATGATAGTAGATACATCCAGAATGTGGACACTAAGGCAGTATGTTACATGCATTCTATAAATTACATGGAACTAAAGCTTCTTCTTCAAGGATATCAGCCATTTNTTTTTTTTTAAAAACTTCTTCATTAATACAAAATTACATGGAACTAAAGCTTCTTCTTCAAGGATATCAGCCATTTGCCTGTTTCCGACTTCAAGAGAATATGTCTTTCCTTTTAGCTATGGAGCATCCAATACTTCAGTGTCCTCTGGGTTTATAATTCAATATATCTTTGGGAGCTTATAATACTTAATAGTGTCCCTGTACCAAACATGACACCTGAGACTACGTATACTAGAAATATTAATAATAACACTATAGCGGAATTTCAATATCTGTTAAGCTTGGAACTTTGGGATGATACGTTCAATAATAATAATGTTAATGTTATGTTTAATAATTTTCTCAATACATGTTTAAGATGTTCTTATGCTTCCTTCCCAAAAAAAGCCAATTAGACACAATAACAAAAACCATAATAAATGGATCAATAATGGGATAAGAATCTCATGTAACAAAAAGAGAGAACTTTTTTTATTAAGTAGATATAGTAATGATATACATTTTAAATTATATTTTAAACAGTACAGTAAAATACTATCAAAAGTAATTTTAGCAGCAAGAAAAACTACACTATAACAAAATCATTGCTAATTCTAACAATAAAATAAGAAGTACTTGGAAAATAATAAGTGAAGTAAAGGGGAAAATAAAGCGAGACATAGGTATTCATTCCATTGTGACAGACAATAAAGTACTAAAGAATCAGAATAAAATTGCTAATGCTTTTAACGATTATTTTTTATCTAAAGCTGATTCTGCTATATCAGATATTAATAAACATACAAGTACAAGTATAAATAATCCAACTACTTATTTGGCAGATGTTTTTAATAGACCTTTCACCAAAATGAGCTGGCAATATGCCTCTGCTCAGGAAATGGCAAAAATTATAAAATCATTAAAGACTAAAGATTATTCTGGGTATGATGAGATTTCTAGTAGAATAATAAAATTAAGTGCTCCATTTATAATCTCGCCATTAACATACATCTGCAATGTGATCATGAGTACTGGTGTATTTCCAGATCGATTAAAATTTGCCATAGTTAAACCTTGCTTTAAAAAAGGCAACATACAAGAAATCTCTTAACTACAGGCCAATTTTGTCGTTGACTTCCTTTTCAAAAATTATTGAAAAACTTATTTATTCGAGACTAATCACTAAAATGAAGCTAACAGTATCTCGGCACATCTTGAAACTGAGAAGGCGGCATTTTCATTGATTAATAGTATTCTCACAGCCATGAATATTAAGCAAAATGTAGGAGGTATTTTATGTGATCTGCAAAAGGCTTTTGACAAACTTTTGTTGGATAAACTGGAATTCTATGAAATAGAAGGTATATTTGAAACACTAATTAAATCTTATCTAACTGGTAGACATCAGAGAGTTGTTTTGGGCCATATAACTGATAGTAACAATACATCTAAGTGGGAAATAGTTAAATGTGGAGTTCCACGGGGCTCGATTCTCGGCCCCCTGCTTTTTTTTTTTGATATAAATAATTTACCTAAAATAATAAATACGGATAATAACATGGTTCTATATGCTGATGACACCAGTATTATAATTATTGATACTAATAATGTAAACTTTGAAACAAATCTTAACCATACCTTTAAAGATATAAACACTTTGTTTAATGTTAATTTACTTACTTTAAATTTCAATAAAACTCAATATTTAGAGTTTTGGTCCATGAATTGTAACTCAACGACACAAATTAATTATGATCAGGAAAGTATCTCCAGTGTAACAGAAACTAAGTTCCTTGGTTTGATTATTGATGATGTATTATCTTGGAAACAGCATATTGACCTAGTGATCAGTAGATTATCCTCTGCGTGCTATGCATTGCAAAATATAAAACGTATTGTATCATTTGCAACATTAAGGCCAATCTACTTCGCTTATGTACACTCCATCATGAGTTATGGTATAATCTTCTGGGGTGGCTCGTCACATGCCAGGAAAATGTCTATCTTGCAAAAGAAAATTATTAGAATCATAATGAACACTAAATCTAGAGATTCTTGCAGGAATATTTTCAAGAAATTGGAAATTATGACGTTATATTCTCAGTATATATACTCACTACTTTTATATATAATTAATAATAAACATTTATTTAACTTTAATAACGAGATTCATGAATATACAAGTACATCCCAAGGTAATTTACATGTACCTAGTGTGAATACTTCAAAATTTAATAAAGTAGCCTATATAACAGGTATTAAAGTGTTCAATCATCTTCCATGATCAATAAAGATTTTGGTCAATGATGAGAAAAGCTTTAAATTTACATTAAAAAGGTTTTTATGTCATCATTCTTTTTACCCTATAAATGAATACTTTCAATATAAAGAAGACAAAGGTTTGTAATCCAGATATTCTCTTGAATTGTTTGTTAGGTTGATTTTACATATGATGTATTACCCACTGACTAGTCGCTCGGCATTTATGGGTATACATTTTATGGTAGTATGGTACTGTAACAGACCATCTGTTTTAAATAACATGTGACTGTATACAATTAAGATGGTCATGAATGGTTTACTCACAGCTCATTTCCTTTTATCCTGTAGAGGAATATGTTAATAAATAGTTTTCAAACTTTAATGTTCTTGCTATGAAATGACTGATTGTATATACTGAATTTTTATTGTACATTCTAATTTTTTAAGCCTGATGAAATGTACTGTATTTGGACTGCTAAATTAGGTATTTGTAGTTATGTGATCGAAATAATTGCATCAAACTTCTATATAATGAATAGGTCGTTTGTATTGATTTATGATAGTGACAACTATAATCATATATCTGCATAAATTTGATCATATCTGAATATTTTATGTACAAATTTTGTATTGTGACTGTATTGCATGTTGATGGGATCATTGTTTTTATTTATTTTGACATGTTCTATATCCTATGGCATGCGTGTCCTGAAAAGGATCTATGGAATTTAAAATAAAATAAAAGTGAAATAGATATTAATTAACTGATTTTTGTTAAATTAAGCATGAACATCTTTCCACTAGAACCCTTCCTCTCCATTTTGTATCTGTTGTTGTTGTTGTTATTATTATTATTATTTGTGGATATGTGCACATCATGTGTGTACCATCATGGCTGTCATGCAAACTGGTGATAGGGCAACACCATAGAATGTAGGGACTGAAGTTCTGTACTAAAGCTCATATTTGAAAGTGTGCATACTTTTAACTCTTTCCATCTTAGCAACTCTGTGTAGCTGACATACCTGCAATCACAGCAATATCTCCAAGTACACTAGTGGTTTTCAGTATCATCTGATAAAGAGATAAGTAGAAAACAGTATTGCAGGGAGTCATTAAAGCACCATCAAGCAACAGAGGAAAAAGAAAATTATGACTAGATTGTGATCTGAAAGAGAAATATTTCGGTTCATAATGGTGCTGTTTTTTAATAGTATGTTACTGTCCAATCTTGGTCAGATATGATACTTTGGATAAAGCACTGAATACTGTTTTGATGCAAGGATGGTAAATGATAAATCATTGTATCTTGATTACTGAAATTTGTATTATCAACTACTTATTCTTCTTGTATGGGAGATTATACCATGCAGTTAAAGGTCTCCCATTTTCCAGGATGATGTTGGATCAGCCTGCCATGAGGTCTCTACTTACACAGGACAACACAAAACAGACNGATACCATGCAGTTAAAGGTCTCCCATTTTCCAGGATTCAGAATGACATCTGGTAGGAATCCTTGGATGTTGGATGAGCCTGCCATGAGGTCTCTACTTACACAGGACAACACAAAACAGACATCCATATTCCACGTGGAATTTGAACCTACAGCCCCTGTATTGGAGCAGTGTAGGACAGTACCCACATTTGATTATGTGGCAGCTGTAATCAATTTATCTGCCAGTAGTTTAAGACCTACATATCTAGTCCTTTACAGCTCTAAAATCCAGTATGCATCTGTTGTTACTGTAGTACTTGTTAAAAGCTATCGTCTTGCCTATAGGTAAATTCTTTGTTCAAAGTATGCTTGTGAGGTTGCTGTGATTCTACCGATACACACATAAAAGGAAACCTTTGCAATTTGTTTTCTTTTGCAAATAATTGCTTGTTTTCTCATGTTCATGTAAATTAGTGTGATAATATAAGGTGTGCTTAAACAGGAAGTCTCTAAGTGACACTTCCCCTACCTATTTTGGTTACACAAATGTAATCTTCCATTATTTTAGTGACATGCATAATTTGTATCTTGTTCTCTGTTTCAGCATACGTGTGCATTAGAATCAGGATTCCGTAATTCAGGGATCACACTGGGAAAACGTGGTAAAGTTATTTTAGCAGTAAGGAGTTGTGTTGGTTTGGAAGTGCCATTGACTGAAGATGGGATTGTGTTGGTTTCAAAAGAGGTATGTTTAATGGGTGTATCACCGTGTTATTTATACACTTGATGAGTAGTCACTGGTACCATCGGTTTATTTTATAATTGAAAGAAACTGAAAATTCTGTATATTCTTTGATGTATCCTTTATGTATGTTGTTAATTTTCTTGATCAAAAGAATAGGATGGGATCAGTGGTTTACAAGCTGTGAGGCATAGCTTCTTGGGGGAAGGGGGGGAGGGTACAGTTTCATAAATCAGTGTGCTTGCTGCATAATTAATGGAAATAAATAAGATTGAATAAATACTACAAACTGCAGGTATAACTTCTAAAGTCTGTTTCCATTTGCAGACTTTTAGTTCTACAAATCTTATGTTAATCTGTCATGCATATGTACATATACGATGGGGTACCCAAAAGAACCGAACTAATTTTTTTATGGGCAGAGGTTTTGTAGTACCGTGTTTTGCCGCTATGAGCGCATAGAGCTAACATTCCTGAGTCGATAAGCCGACTACCATTGCTTCAGAAGGTAAGGACTAGTTTCGGCAGAGTTTATAGTGACAAATGTTTTGTGTGATCATCATTTTTGCAATGGCTGATTTTCGTGAACAGCGTGTGGCGGTGAAATTCTGCTTTTTGCTCGGGAAAAGTGGAACAGAAACTC